TCTCTTCACCTTTACAGTCATAATCCCCGCAAACGAAAGGGGCGTGTGACGCAGCGCTGATTGCACCGCAGCCGGGACGCCTTTTTCCACCAGTGATGCCATACTGAACACGATACAGCTGATGGGAAACCTGGCTGCACCTAGCCATGTCCCCATCACACGCTCTGTCGTTTGCAGGGATCACGACTGTCTGAACTTTACCCTCCCTTTTCAGATGTGCCTTCCAAAAAACCGCGAGTAACTGCCTACTCAACATTCAAGATGAGAACTGTTAGAGCTGTATCCGATACCAGAACAACATCCTACAACAGCTGTTTTACACGGTACTTCTCTTACTTCTCTCTATAAAGATTATCTTCTTTCAGTTGATATCTTGCTGTAAACAACCTTTGTCACTTAGTCGTGTAACAAATCTCCTCAAATTATGGGAAAAAATCGAATAAAAAACGAACTGGTAAAAAAATGGGCGCGCAACTCGATCTCTCTGTATTGTGTGGCGACAGGATGTGATATGGAAATGGTGGTGAAAAGGTTTATTATCACTTTTTAAATGTTGTGTCTACTAAAATCTAGAGCCGTTATTAATAAACTGAGCAGATGAAATAATTTAAGCGAAATATGTTAGCCATATAAAAGATCATGGCGTAGTAACACATGACAAAACATTACAACATGGTTAAGCATGAGATTCAGATTAATCCTTTTTCTTGTCAACAAAATAAGAACTAGTGAGAAAAAAAAATGAAATGAGACGGTAACTTTTGTGAAGTAAAACGTACCACAAATTAATAAGTTAACAATCACAAGTCAAGTTCAATAATTATGTACTGAAACGAAAGTTAACGATAATTAGTAACGGACAACTAGTACTTGAATAGAATACGGCAACCCGACATGCCGTGTGGAACTTGATGCACCAACTTATACGATGTTTTGCTTATGTGGGAAGGGGAGTATACTCCATATTTACAGAGACATAAAACGATTCACCAAAAAAAAACACGAACTGTGCGCTCATTTCGCAAACTGCGCTCCAGTAAAGATGCGACGTGTTTGTGTAACAAGAAGTAAAAAAAAATTAAAACTACGACGCTTGATAGGCTAGGACGGGGGTGGCGGGACGGGGGAACTCGACTCGGCCCTTACCCCGCCACCCAAACAGAGAGATCGAGTGCCCATGCGCCGCCCATACACCACCCGCCTAACCTGATTCTGAATCGGACGAGTCACTGCTTGACGATGACGACGATCCAGAACTACCAGATGAGGATTCAGATGATGAGCGGGCACGACTAACCACATGTCGGGAAGCATCTGCGGTGGATGCTGCTAGAACAACTTTCGTGTTACAATCAGCTGAACGAAATCTCTGCACCGTTCAAAATGGACTCTGTTCAACTGTACCACACAACAACTAAATATTCTAAATAGTTCAACTACAAGAAAATGAAAACTTACCGTTCTTATTCGACTGCTGCGCCGAAACTGTTCCACCAAGCTTCTTTATCTTATCCTCGATTTCACGTTTACGCGTCTCGTTATCGCTTTTAACTGCTGTAATGTTTCCTTCAGATGATGGAGGATTGGTCACTATTAATAGAGGCAAATGAAAAACCCTATTCTATCACAAAATACTCACTCTTTCGCGGTTTCCGTTTCAGAGCGGCAGCAACAAAGGCTTCGAGGTCACGAAGGGTAACAGCTTTGAGAGTTTCAAAATCTATCTCAATTTCCTCTGGACTGATATCCTAAAAAAAATTATTTCAACTATTATAAGCAGCCGACATTTGACCCTTAGTAGGCGTACCGACAGGTCCTCTCGACTTTCAATAATACTGACGACCATGCTGAGTTTATCACCAGGAAGTTTGTTGATATCAAGGCTGAGTTGCCGCTTTTCATCGTAAGACATTGGCTCATGAGATGCTTCATCGCTTGAATCAAACTCATAATCATCCTTCCATGGCTTTCCATTCGCTGAACTCTCCGCTTTCGGCTTGTTCTTCGAACCAGGTCTACGCCCTCGACCGCAATATAACTTGGCTGGCTCGTTAATTGCATGAGATGGTGGACGCTTCAGAAGCTTCCTTGCGAGGCTGAAACAGTAACATATAACTTGTAAATTTTACGACAGATCCAACTATTATTTACCAACAACAACAAACATACCAGTGGTGAGATCGATGTGGCAGGTCCATTCGACAAGGGCGAATCTTCTTTCACATGGACAGGAGGACCACGGCGGGTTCTGTTTGCTGGCGTCAAAGGTTGAACAGTTACACCACACTGTGCTAACGTCTGCTGGACAGAAGTCACCAGAGCAGGAGGTACAGTTGGTACCGTTCCGTCTCCTTGCTTAGCCTCCTTCCTCTTCAACTGCAGCTCAGCAAGTTCAGTAGTTTGCTGCCCAATTTGGTCAAGACGTTCTTGTAGCTTCTTTCGTTGTGAATTCAACTAAAAAATGCATGTGTTTTGAAAAAAAATCTATTATCAATTTCCATCAAAATTTCCATTAATTACATGATCGAGGTAGAAGGCAAGTTGGTCGTCCTCGTCCATATCGCATGAAGTAGCCACAACATTCGTATCAGCTACATCTTCATCTGCCGGCAACTGTGACCACTAAACAACAAACCAGAATTGAATCACAAGTACGAAAACCAGTAAAATTACAACTATCTGTGCATTCTGGCACATTACTGAAACTTACCCTTTCCTCAAAAGCTCGCAAAAGAGCTCTTCCATGCTGGTGAATGACATCTGTGGCAGGATTATATGTAAAACAATTAGAACAAACCTGAAAGTAACTACTGCTAACATCTTTTAACGAACGACAAAGCAAATGGTGATTCCAGGATAACAGGCGCTATACAATACCTCGACTTGCGCGTAAAACAGAGTGTGTGCAGGTGTGCACAACACCTCAATCTCCGCCTAAGAAGTCCCTGGACGGGTGGAAAGCGGAATAAACGTTGCTGTCGCTTCTCTGCTCACCCCGGAGCTCCCTAACGAGCTAACTGCCTTAGATAACTGAACAGTACGGCATGGTGAATTGTGTGTATCCACAGAGACGACACATTTAATATTACGCGCAATTTTCAAGACACTCTATGTGCCTGTTCTCCTGAACTTGTAAGTAACTTGTAACTTGCTCATCCGAAATGTTCGACGCACCAGCTTTATATCATCAGCGAATTCCTGGGCGGTTGCATACTGCTTATTATCCAATTTCTTTTTGATTGTACCAAGATCCATTGGATTCGTAATAATGTCATAGTAGTCAGACAGATTCATGCCTTCTACGTCAACAGGAACCAAAAATGGCCAATTAAAAGCCTAAATGGAAATCTTGCGCCAAAAGTTTAATGAAAACCCAAATAGCCCTATAAAGTAGCACGTACTTTGCACTTCTTGCCCATTAATTCATGTAACACCTTGTGGCAGAACTTCATTGATTCTGAAGCTTTGCCTTTATACCTAGGAGGTAGTTGTGTATAATCGATGAAATGTGCCGGTTTCTTCACTGGACGAGCAGACTCACGACGAGGAACCTGAGAATTACTGTCTTCTGTCTAAAAGTTGTTCTGTTGTTACGTTTGTTTATGTCATAGAAACAATATTCAATATATATTATATATTACCTTGCCAGAATCTTCTTCAATAAGAACACCAGTCGTGGTGTCTGCTTTCCTCTTCACCCCTTTCTGCACCTTAAGAGGGTGGAGTGTTGAGGAGCTTATCTGAAACGAAACACATTATTTCATCATAGACCAAAAACGAGCTAGGAAAGGGGGTATGTGACAAGACAATCGTAACATGCCGCGCTGGTGGCCGTAGCGAGCGGCTCCGCGCCCCACGGACGATTTGTCCCTCCCGGCTGTATTCAGTTTTATTGTTGAAGGGACGGAGAAATTTTGATATCGCCTTGATATGGAGTTCTTGTCTCCAGTTGCACGTTTCGTTGTTCCGATTCGCAAACTAATACACGTGGAGAGGTTGTCGCGCATCGCCGCATGGTTCCCCGCGCGCGACGACGCAGTAACTCGCGATTGTCTTGTCCGCCTCTTTAGGAAAGCGCAGTATATCGAATTCCGAAATTTACCGGAACATCCATGCTGGTCCCACTTGACGACTCTTCTACAACATTTGGGACATCGGAATCACCGAGCACAGAAGAGCTATCAGCAGCACCTCGTTGTATTGACGACTCTCTTGACGCTAAAAATATACCAACTCAATGACAAGCGATTCGGAATGAAATTAAAAAAAAATAAAAAGCAAGGCCGGGTTGATATCTACTACTCTGAGTTACAACAAGAGTTAGATCCCCGTTTTGCAAAATAAGAAGGCAGATATGAGTGAGTCCATGCAGACCTCTAACCGTCGCATTATGAAAATGTTCTAAGACGTGCTGGGCATCCTCGCTCCCACCTCGAACGAAAGACGCTGACTTCCGTCCACCGGCAGGAGCTGGAGATGGGCCCTTGCGAAGAGTTTTCGGACCACGTTTCGAAGAAGGTCGTGCGATTTCGACTTCCTGAAAAGATGCTCATTATACAAACCAGTCATATTCACTATAGAGAGATCTAGCAATGCAATGGGAAGCTAACAGATAGGACAGGGGTTAGTATGAAGCATATCTGCTCACGAAAAATTATAAACGATAAAAAACCTCGTGAGGCAAACTCTGCATACAGTCCCTATACACGTTCTCGACATTTTGGCACATTATTGTCACGTCGTCCTCGACTTGATTGAAGGTGTAACAGTTGCGGAAGATATCTTCGAAATCCTGGAGAAATAACCCAGTAGAATACTTACATCAGAAGGCATATCAGCAATCTTGGCCAAGAAGAGTTGTTCGAGTTCGCGACCCATCGAAACGATCTCACTGTGAGGAGGGTTGAAAGTGTAGCAGTTGTTGAACATTGTCATTATATCCTACAATATATCGGAGAACCTCTACGCTATCAACCCATTGTACCGTGTAACAGAAACGGAATCCATGTAGTAAGTATTACGGGATTGGTAAATATCCGAAACTAATTGATCGAACCAAGACTTGAGACATGTGTAAACTTTGTAGTTACGATGTTAAAGCTCATAGATTCCTGATTCTGGTGGTACAACTGTTAAAGATTCTCCGATATAGGTTACTAATTTTAGCCCATAATTGAAAATTTAAAGGATAATCTAACTCCCCGCAAAACTCGTACTAAACTAGCGCAACTCGTACACTCGTAAGTAATTTGTCACTTTTGAAAAACGTTCCCATAATGTTAACCGTTGTAATCGAATGACTCTCTTGAGAGATAAAACGATAAATAACGGCACCAGCTTCTCACTACTTGCCACAAAAAATTTTTGCCTACCCCTCAAAGTGGTAAATTTATATTGTGGCAAACAATGAGCAAGAAAAATGAGCTGCTTTATAAAAAATTCCAGAATGATAGGAATTTATGAACGAGAACATCGTAGAAATAGAAATAAGACAAGCCAATGGCTTGGTTCAAAACTATTGTTCCGGAGATTTCAATACCGATTTAATTAGTACTCGGGATTTAAAAAGAAAGAAAATTTCAAGAACAACAAATTTTAACCTCCATGCATTCCTTTGCTGAATAGTAGTAGATATTCTGCAAACGCTTCTGAATGGTCTTCATATCCATAGGACGACGGATGACTTTATGATAGTCCTGAATTTATACTAAAGGCTTACGGCAGAACCAAAGGTATGCAACAAGACTTACTGGAAGATTTAATTTGACCGTATCCACTGGCACATTAAACGGCCAGGCGTGTTTATGCTTCATTACTTCTTTGAGCACTGTATTTAAAATGTAGTCCAGTTGATTTGTATGCCGCGTGGGCTTGCCCATCGGAGGGATAACTCTTGGTTGAACGATGCCATTTACGGGCTCCTTAGAGGCATTTAATGATAAAACTTGAAAAACTATGAAAGAATGTGATAAGATAGATAAGAACTTCTTGGGCTACCTGGCGTGGAGACGCCCATGGATTTTCCGTCTTTTTGACATTGTCGTCAGCCGCACTGGCTGTGGCTCCTTCTCCGGATGTACTTACAGCGTCTGCGATTTTCTGTGTGTCATTACCGGACATTCCCTCAGGAGGCCTGAAATAACGTGAAAATGAGTTGTAAAAAGGTACGGAAAAGAAGCGTGGGCATGGGCGGCCCATACAGGACAATAAAAAGTTGTGAATACAGCCAAGTTAGTTAAAATTCACAATCGGCAAAAATATGACTGGATTTTGATGTCTCTATGTACTCATTATTAATGTTACAGATCACGGAAAGTTACGGAAACAAGTCAAAACCAGTCAAAATGTGTGAATGGCGGGCTCGTGACCGCTACGCAGGCGCTGACGCAACGCGGTGGCATCGTGCCTCGCAACCTGCACCTCGACCCCCCATAGTCGATGAGCTTTGATGTCCAGAACCAGATGAAAGAAATCGGACGTTCTCGTATATATGGATCATAAAACGAACCCATCAAATTTTCAGATACCCACAGCTGAGCAATCGGCTCTCAGGTGAGCTGGACGAGCTCGTTCACTTCCCGCTAGTCTCGTACCAAACTGCACACGACAACGCAACGTACGACAACCAAAGTTTCAATACAACATCTAGGGATGTTCTTGAAACCATCATGGTAATCGTAGTAGTATTAGATGCTTAAGCTACATTATAGAAACATATACACACAGAGTTGAAGCGCTTAGAGAGAGAGAAAGAGTCATGGCCTAGAACATTCCCTCGATCGATTCATTCATTGTAGACAGTGGCAAAATACGCGATGGAGAGCGTTCCAGTTGGAGGGTGCAGGGACGAAAATCCTCTACGTCTCTCACGGAGCGGCCACCGGGGCGACGGAGCCGCCAAAGCCCCCCGAAGCCAACAGCTCCCTTACCTTCAAGTACGTAAGGTTGTAGCGTAAGTTCTGGGATGGAACAACTCACCAATGTCTTCAGTAAGTGTTGAAGTTGTCGAGAAAATTGTCAGTTTCCATACTGATCACATTGCAACGGTAGTGCGGTCCAATAAGCTGGCTTCTTAGCGCTCGTTCATCGTCTCAGGAGGACCTCCCAATAGTCCTGTTCCTGATCTTGCAGACTCCTCTCAAACATTCCTCAAAATCCGTAGTACCAAGTATGTTGAAAGAAAACTGGTATGGAGTTTGCACTTAGACGTGTTCCCACAACGATGATGCTACAGTAGGAGAATGTCCTCGTCCTTTAAGCGCGGCGTGACTCAGCTCACAATTAAGTCGGGACGCTGCGCTCCCATATCGATCGCTCGTTGGACTTTACGGAAAGGTGTGGCTGTGGGCCGACGCCCCGTGGAAGGGTGCAGTGGCTAAGAAAAGGAAAAAAGCATTAAAAGGAAAAAAATAATGCGCAAATTCAGCTCACGCAAATGCGCCTCATTTACAGCGCATATCTGAATTTGAACCCGGAAGTAAAATGAAATTCAATCAAGGAAATCTTGCCTTATCAATTGAATTCCTCGAGAAAGCTATTGACTGGGGGTATCCTCCGGGTCTGTATTAAGGAAAACTGCATTGTTGATAAAAAAAAACAAAAGGTAACAGATTTAGCTGCAACCAAATTCCCGTGGACCAAATACGTAAAGAACCTGACAAAATGAAAATTCGTGCGTCACTGCGAACGTGAAGCTCACGTGCTCTTCTGTGTGTGAGCAAGCAATCTGATTTAGATTGCTGCCCTTTTGACCCCAGAATGTACAGTGTAAAAGTAAAAGAAGAAGAAGGTACTTAGTAGCTGGCACGAACTCAGTTTCCGTGTTTGCCTAGGCAACAGATGGCGCTATAAAGTGGGACAGCAGATGCACCAGACTTTGGCCAGTTTGTTTGGAATCAACCTCATGTTGGATAAGCATGAGTAGAGGTACTAATTAACTTATGGGCACCCCCAACTGCCTTAACTGTATGCATAGAGTTGATATCATCGCAATCGTCGGGGCGGTGCCAGGAGAAGCGGACGGGCTCATGCCAGACCTCTTAACGCCGCCCTGACTGGCTGCGACGATATCAGGTGTATTTCATAGTCTTATACACTCGAAATTTACGAAACGATGACCGGTTGAATATGGTGAGAACAAATATCAAGAGATGCTGAAGTCATAATGTGGCCTAGTACAGCTACGTTGCTTGTTGCGAGTTTCGATCAGACATCAACAACGTGGTAGAAGAGTTCGTGATTGGTGACACAGTAACCCACCAGCGACAGTCATCTGTACTAATAGTCCGTCTGTCACTAACGGTATGAATACCTAGACAGTTGAATATACTGCAAGCAAGTTCGAAAACTAATTAACGGTCACGAGGCGGCGTTCACAGTCTGTGCCTCCCCCCCCCCTTGCAGCTCGCGGACTTAGGTAGCTCAAAAACTGCGATTCTGTGATGGGCGCGTCTGTCACCATTCTTGTTCGCTCATGACTTAGGAAATTTCCAAAACTGACCTCTTTCGGAAGCACAGTGTACGCTGCAGACTGAAGTGTTGAAATAGTAGAAAACAATGGGTAAAATAAATGCACCATGATGTATAAGAGAAATGATGGTCAAAGAAAAATAGTGACAATCACGCTCCTCCTCGCATTTTCCGTGACCAGCGCGATCGATGCCTATCTAAATCGTGGTTGCATGTGCCATGAACCATAATGACGTCCTTACTGCCGCATACTCTCAGTAACATTCATCACTCAACGGAGTTCAGCACAGAAACAGTCCGCAGAAATCCGCAAAAAAGAAAAAGCAAAACTCAAAGAATTCAATGCTAAACACAAGACGTGACTTAGAGTGCGTTCACACTACGCGAATTGAGCGCGCTTCACGCGTATCGATCGATTGCGACTGGGGCGCACCACCGCTAATCAATGGGCCGCTGCTGCACGGCTGAATCAAGTGCATTCGAAATGAAGCTCCTGCAGCCATTTTTTCTATTGCGTTAAAACAACTGTTGTGCTATATAAAAGTCCAAGATATATACAAGCCCAGATGTTACACTAGTCCTTTTTGAGAACATTTCAAGCTACCCCATCCCCGTTCTTGAGCAGGCCTGAGTGAATGCAGTGCATACAGTCACAGTCTTGTTCGCAATAGACGTTAGGGCGTGTCAGGCTGCTGGGTTTGGTACGGCGCCATCCGATTTTTAACCATTTTGATCGCCTGCCAGCTTCCATTACTGATGGAGAAAGGCGTCATGCAGAGGCCACTCTCCTGACACGCTTCAGCATCCGCAGCGACCAAGGCTGTAGTCAGCTATGGAGTGTTTCAGTTTAATGAAGACTGTCCCGGCTTTGCGCTTTTAATCAACAAGTTCCCTTCCCGAAATGGACTATGTTGAAAAAGTGCAAACGTAAGTAGTTGAGAAGAGCCACTTGGCACCACGTTCAAGTCACTTCCTAGGCAAGGGTTGTGCTGACGACCGGATTCCTTGTAGCAGTCGCGCAGAGAAGAAAGAGACATGCTGACGTGTAGCCGTACGCGATCGATGCAGTTAAAAGCATGGGCATCGATCGCGCCGAGGGCGCGACCGAAGCGCTGCCGTCGCGAAGTCTGAACGCTGCCTCAGCGACTTCCCCATCGGAAAGGCAAAAAAACTTACCGTGATGGTAGTGGTAGTGTTGGCGAAGGGGCTTCATCTATGAAAGGCTCGTAATCAGATCCTACGTCGTCTTGGTACCTTAATATTATCAAGTTAAAACAGCGCGCGACCAAAGCGCTGCCGTCGCGAAGTCTGAACGCTGCCTCAGCGACTTCCCCATCGGAAAGGCAAAAAAAATTACCGTGATGGTAGTGGTAGTGTTGGCAGTGGCACTTCATCTATGAAAGGCTCGTAATCAGATCCTACGTCGTCTTGGTACCTTAATATTATCAAGTTAAAACAACCTGGTGATCTTCACAGCAACGAGGCTCAGCCCCGAACTAAAATCAGTAAAATCAAGTTACACTCGAAAATCCTGAGATGTAGTAGGCATGGCGCGTACTTCAGTAAACGTGGCGGTGAGTGTGTTTTTTATAAGATGATTTCATTTTTACACATTGCAGTCATGTCTCGGTCCAACAGTAAACAAAATGACAGTTGTCTCAAATTGAAATATCCAACGGGTACCCATTCTAGACCATGTTCAAATATTATATCACGCCTACTTCGCCTCAGGGATGAAGAGTGTGTGAAGATTTTTTTCCCTGAGGTTGTCCTGAATTTTGTTTCACAGTTGCGTCCATACGATGCAGCCGTTATCACTGAAATGCTTCAGGCGGGGCGTGTCAATAGCGTGGACTTTGGCACGGTTCCAACCGATCCCCAACGACCCATTGAAAGATCAAAGCCGCGACGATCGATGGAAAAGGGTCTGGCACCGCGCCAAATCCACGCCTTCATGACAGTCTCGACTGACTTCGGGAATAACGGCTGTATCACTGGGGATGAGAAGCACAGGCGAAGCGGCATGGTACAAGAGTATTTGTCACAGGCCGCAAGTAAGGATCGGTTCTTCTTCTTCTTTTCTTGGGCTGGAAAATCTGCATTTTTAGGAACATTTTTGAGTAGTTAGCATTGCTGGAATACCAATGTTTGCTCAGATTTCTCTGTACAAGAGATTTTCGAGCAGTACACAACAAGCTCGAAGTTGTTCCACCCTAGGATAATGGTCGAGCATATCGGGACACGTAACGCTTTCCACAAAAGGTGTCTGCGCAGAATGATTGCCACATTCGAGTTGGCAGCTCAAATTACCTCTAGTAATTTATATCCGAGTTTAAAATTTTATCATAGCTTTTGAATGCACAGTTTTTCACAAGGGGAACTCCACAGGCCTCGCTGAGTATCACTGGGCAGCTCTACCAAGCCGAATTGTACCAATTTTGAAAACAGGTTCGAGGTCAGCGTTAAAAAATGCTCTGAAGGTATAGGTTTTACCACAAAAGGCCACTTCCACTGGAGGCTTTCCCTACTGAGGTGGTACTAATGAAGCAATCTCAGGGGATGGACCGCTTCGCATTTGCGCTCCATGGCAAAATTTTTCCCACAAAACACTACTTTTGGGCAGTTCTGCATGTGAATTCTTGCCTCCCCTT